GGAAAGAGATAAGAAGTCCCTTCTCCCAGAACTGAGCTTTTCACAAGGACATAGACCCCAGTTAACTGGCATCTTCCAAGTCCACGTATAAATATTAGATGTGAAAATGGCAGGATTTTGAGAAAACCTCAGCAAATTAAAGGCAGCCTGCTGCCAGCCTGCATGCCACCTTTCTTCTCCCTCCTACACCTTCCCCAGCCGGTATAGGTGAGAATCTGTATTGGGCTGTTGCAGGCAGCTAGACAGGCATTGAGGTGTAATCAATAAAAGGTTGGGCTATAGACTTGTCTCTTGCCTTTTTAGCTGACTTGGGTGGTAGTAATAATACCTTACCTGCTAAGAGGAAATGGAAAATCATTAGGACACGTAATTTTATCTTGACTTGGTGTACAAAAATGGTAAGCATTAAGGAATGTGTCCCTTAATGTGTGTTTAAGTTTGCAAAAGATTCCTGATCATAGGCTGCAGTCTTGTCTCTCTAAAGACCAAACAGTACTGGGTTTTCGGTAACACAGCAGTACTGCAGCCTAACCAGCCACTACTTAGTTCATGTCTGTGCATTCAATTATTGCATTTGTGCAGGACTTTGCATTTGTTCTTGCTGAACTGCTTCTGGTTGATATTGGATCATTTCTTCCAACTGTCCAGGTCATTCTGATCCTATCCCAACCCTCTTGCATATCAGTAGACCAGGAATACTGTGTAATCCCTGATGTACAGTAAGGTTCATAGTTTGGTTACAAAATTCTTGACAGCCGTAACGTAAGAAGTGCCTGGAAGTGTTTTAACACAGGAGATGGCTAGGTATCCATCTAAATTACAACCTCAACCATGTTTAACAGGATCAGGGACAACAGAGTTGGAACTGCTTTCCTGTACTTAGTGGGCGCATCTATGTGAGATGCTATGTGGACATAGCTCATTGCTATGGCGATGTAGTGCCAGTGGGCACAAACCATGATGCCAACACTACTGCACAGTAGGGTCGGAAATGACCCTTGTGTCGTCAGGATTGCTCAGCAACAGCGGTTACTGCAGTCAGGCACATGTGTAGACGTACGGAGTGATGGCTGTAAAATAGATGGGGCTTTCCATCATGGCGCATAAAGTCTTGTTCAGGTTTTGATATAAACTCACCCTTGCCTAGCATCCTTCCTAGAGTAAACTGTTGTTCCTGAATTAAGACATCCTTGAGTTTGGTTTTCAGATCATCACTGATCCCTATGCTCTCCACTAGAAAAACAAACAGAAGAGAATCAAAAGGGAGGCAGGATCATAGATTTTGTCACAACATCCAGTGAGTCCATCTTGGTGGTGCCACTTTATAATCCAGCTCTTTAGTCCCACTTCCTATGCTGAAAAATGTTATAGGCAGAATTCTCCCCACAATTCAGCTTCAAAGACAAGAAACCTGTAACTTTCAGGCATAAGAACTTTATTCTTCCAGTGTTATAGCAATTCCCTTGCTGCATCTTTGACAACACTGCTTTATACTGAAGTTTGGGAAGATAATATCCAATGGTTGTTTCTGAAGTGTAAAAAAAATCAAATGGAGAGGGTGTACACACACTATGTAACTAAACAGGTGATAAACTACCCTTCTGTTTCTGCAACCTTTTGTTCAAATCCAATGTGGTGAATTCATTCCAAATACTACTGGTCACTTGTCCGCAAGACAGTCCAACTTAATTGCCAGGCTCTTCCTTGGACTGGATTAAGAACAGGATCAGTACTGAGCACCTATGAGAACCACATGGAGAAGCATGCCCACCACCTGCCCACTTTATGCCCAGACCTTCTTTAAACGACTCTTGGCTTTTTATCCTAAAAGGCACACTTTAGGGAAAATGGAGGGAGTCACTCAGACCGTTTTACTTACATGTTGCCTCAATAAGCTCTGGGCCTTCCCTGTTGAAAGACCTGGCAGCTCTGAAATGGACCATTGGCTCCCCCCGGCCGACCACACTGCCGAAGGCATGACTAGGTGGCAAAGAAAAGCAGACAACCATGACAACTAGTCCATTCATTGCTAGAAAAACTGCCAGGAAAGGAGCAGAAATGTTCTACTTCCAACTTCTTGTTATATAAAATTGATGAAATACTACTGATGAGGCCGAGTCAAAAACCATTCTCACCAGCTTTAAAAGCCATTAAGGAATGTCTCTTACCCAAATCGAGTTTCTTTTCTTCTTTTGCGAAGGAGAATCAGTGCCAGGGCAACAGCTGTCACCAGGGCAGTGAGAATGCCCAAAGCTACAGGCACCCAGGATGTCCCATAGGGAGGTTGTCTCTGGCCACCTACATGAAGGAGAAGACACCAGTTAAAGAGACCATCAGTGCCTGACAAGCAACAACTGAATGAATCCACATCATCAAGATACCTTTCCCTATGAGTTAACAGGAGCACCAACATGTTGCACTTTGTGTACATTGGGGATCATTCTGCACTGATATTTGACTTACACAGTCAAACCAAGAAAAACTTAATAGTGTAATTAGGGCCATTATATAACATAAGTACGGCAGAACTGCATCTAGTGGGTCAATTCTGTTCTTAGATATAGACAGAGAAAGACATCATACCAAGTTAAAAGGAAGAGGGAAATACCAGTCTCATCACCTGCTTCCCAGGTATTGTTTTGTGTCTTCACTCCTTTCCTATGAGATGCGAAGCCAAACCAGAAGTAGTAGTCTTTATTCACGTCTAAACTGCTTCCGCTTAACTTCCACTTACTACAAGATTACATACACAAAATACTATATAATCTCACATTCAAGGCACACCTTTTCCCTCCAAAATCAGCCCCCCAAAACGGGTGCATGTTTGAAGCAGGGAGGCTGTTTTCTAGACTAGAAAAGGAGAGCTCCTGCAGACACTGTGTATACCACGGAGCTGCCAAAATGGCTGTCATTTGTGCCTGCTCGGGGCAAAGTCCTGCATCAACCCTTTCACAGCCATGGCAATTGGGTGAGAACTGTAATCTGTGCCCAAAGCAGCAACTGAGCTGCTGGTAGTATCTTGATGAGGCTTGCAATGTGGAAACAACACTTTATTTACAGGAACTTATATAAAGAACTACTTTCAGTAAAGAACTAACAGTTTTGCTACTCCCCTTTGGAAGGGGCTAAGGCAGTGCTTCCCAAACTTTTCCTCAGCAAGGCCCCATTTATGGCCCCATTTTCTCAGCATGAGTCCTCACTCCCAAATCACGGCCCCCCACCCATGCAACCCCATCTGCTGATGTTGTGACCCCATTTGGGGTTGCAATCCACAGTTGGGAACCACTGGCCTAACCTTGTTTGACAGATTAAATCCTCTTGGGAACGTAAATGTATCCAGGAAGCATGATATTGTAGGAGACAGTCTGCCACACCAGGAAGCTCCTGATACTACACTTCCTGGACACACTGGGCACATCCAGACAAGTGGGAATGTTTGTTTCCTCAGGGGACAAGTAGCAGCAGCACAACTTGTGCCACTGCTACTTGACCTGGAGGAATGCCCATACTACATGCACTCTGGCATGCGGCAGGTTGGGGTAGGAGAGGCTGGGGCCAGCAACTCTGTTGGCCCCAGCAGCCTTACCTGGGGTCCTGAAGGCCTTGGGGAGCTGCAGCTGTGGCAGTCCTGCAGCAGGGAGCCTGGTCAGCAGCTGGAGTGTGGCTCTGGCCCGGTTTTGGGCAGGGCATGCTGCCACCATGTGCACTGCTGCCCTGCTTTTTTTTTCGGCATGCATTTTTTGACCTCAGGTCAACACCCCCCTCCCCCCAGCCAAATACTGCAAGGTAGCAGCACGGGGAACACCTGCATGTGTGGTGTGTGACACTGCAGATGGGTCTGCAGTGCAACATACCACATGTCCACACCCATCCAGATGCAGCTACTATGTTTTCAGGCGTTACTATAGGTCATGTGACACTGTAAAAATAATTTTCTCTCTGTTCTGACCTCCGAAAACAAGATACGTGTTTTATTGGAGGGCCTGGTGTATAGAAAAGTGTGGTAGATACTGCAGAGCAGCTGCCACATGATAATACCCTCCCTTTTTAAGGTGTCTGTCTGCTCATACCCTTAGCTACCCCAGTGTAGTAATGAACGAAGTAATGGTTGTATTCTAGGTTATACCCTTTTAAGTGAGGTCAGATTGGTTCATCATATTTTGGGACACTTTGGAGTAGAGTCTGACTGCTTAACAAGCGTAGTCACATGTAAATGTATTACTCTGTCTGGTCTTTGAAAGAAGTTTCGGTGTAGTCTTGCTCATGTCAAAAGAGCCATAGCTGATGTTGATAACATTTTGAAAGACTGAGAACAATTTGATTTATTGCTTCGATTTCTTTATTTTCTATGTGGCAAAATGCAGTGCTGAACAGAGTCATTGCAGTGACTTGGAATAAGCTTGATGCTCTGTTCAAACTAATTAGCTCTAGGGCTAGGCAAAACACCTTGCAAATGCTATTGTACTGCTTCCAGCAACTGACCTATCTTATTCAGAGCTGGCTGTGGTATCCCAAAGCCATTATAGTGTGTCTTGTACACACCCACAGACTCTGGGGAACATGGAATTAGTTGCAACTCCAAGGTATGATAGGACCTAAGCTCAAGAAGCTAACTTTCTGAAAGGTCTCTGAGTATATGAGCTCTTAAGAAATTAACCATAAAACTGGTTCTATCTTCCGTTTCAAGACTGCTTTTTACAGCTTTTTACCTAGGAAAGGCAATATAGGAATCCCTTTCTTTTTGAGAACTGCCTCCAAAAACAAGTATCTTTGTGACTATTCTTGGGGAAGGAACAAGGCCACGTAATTGTGAATGTCCCTGGACACTGAAGAACCTGGAAACTTGCCAATGTGAGGAACTGAATGGTATGTGTATGTAACCAGCCATCAGGAATGAAAGTAGTGAAGCAATACCATATAAGCACTGATATACAGTTGCTAAAGTTTCAGTGGTGCCTCAATTTAAATTGTGACATTTTTATTGATTTGTTCATATTCTTAAAATCCAAGATGGCACTAACACCTCCCAACTGTTTGAGGATGAAAAAGAATGTAGAAAAGGTCCCTCAATAGCTCTTCAACCTTGACAGTAGCTTGAAGCCTCCACCAGCTGACTCTGCTCTACTCAGAGCTGAAGGGAATGAGGTAAGAAATTCTATTGCAAGTTCGCTTAGGGCCTTGTCACATGTTTACTTGCAATAGTTCCAAATCCATTGAAATGTTGTGATGTATTAAAGTAAATAGGTGTTAGGGTATAGTCACACATTCACTTTCAAGAGATGCAAATCACTGAAATGTAGTGACCTATTAGGGCATGGGCAGACATAACACTTGAGCTGTCCCGAGACTGTCACTGATTGAGAACCAGTTCATGACTGTCCCAGTCTTCAGGTGTCTGCACATATACTGACAAGGGTTCAAAGTAGAAGAGTCACTTTTTAGGCATTGCGGTTCTATCAAACCACCACCAGGGGTCGATAGTGAATACCTACCCCAGCCTACCTCCCAGTGGCAAGTGCCCCAGCATGCCTTGAGTGGGGAGGAAGGCATCAGTTGCCTACAATTTTCTGATCCCTTTCTTGTGAACATTGAGTTCAATAAGGAAGATTCCTGCATTTTACCAAAACCTGCATGGTGGTATGGGGGGGGGGGGGGGGGGGGGGGGGAGGAAGGAAGAGTAGAACGGCTGCCTAGATCTCTGCTTCTAGGTTCCTGAGAGCTGGGTGATCAGGGGCTAAATCAAAGCTTCTGTAGCTTATAAAAAACACTTCCCCAAGCTACTCAATTCATTGAAATTCCTCTCAGTGTCTCAGCATTTGGTGCATCACAGGTTGATTTGGGGGTGAAGGGGTGGCCAGCTGGTTGGGGGCAGGGAGTAGGGAGCTACCTGGATCCCTGCTTCTTCCTTTTCAGAGGGCTGGGTCCTCCAGGGGATTACCCAAGATCTCTAGCTCAGGCTACTGTCTTAAGAAGACTTTTCCTAGGGATGGCCCTGTGGAAGGGGGCTTGGACCTCTGCTTCTGGGTCCCCAGGGAGCTGGGCATTCCATGCAGGCTGCGCAAAGTCTCCACTACTTTTAAACTCCATTTTCCTCCAAGCCACTTATTGATTTCATTCTATTTGTAGCAACTGGACAGGCTTTGAAGCACCCTAGGCTAATTGGGAGGGGAAGAGGAGTAGGCAGAGGGGGTGTCCCTGCTTCTGGGTTCCCACGGGTTGCCCAAGATCTGTCGGTTGCCAGAAATGGAACGAAATTGGCCAGTGACTTGGGCGAAAGTGCTGTTTAAAAGCTGCAGTGACACTGGGTAACTCTCCTAGAGCACCAGCACCCCAGAAACCTAAAAGCAGGGGTACTCCCCATGTATCTGACCCTCTACCCCCAACCCAAATCAGCCAGGGATGGCAGACTGGGTCAAGTGCAAGCAATATTGGTACACAGCAAAAACTCCACTACCCCAACCTAAATAGCCTGTTTCCATGCAGTATTTGGAGCTGACGGAAGAACAGTGCAGTATGGAATGCCTGGAGGACTGACCAGATGCTAGTCCCAGATAGCTTGGTGTCTGCACATAACGCTGAACTGGTTCAAGAAGGACCGTTTCAACTAATACCTGACCATCTAGGTATACTTTTGAAATGTTTAAGGAGGTTTAAACCATTCTAAATTGGCTTGTACGTCTGGGCATTTGCAGTTTAAACAGCATTTAAAATGTTTTAGGAATGCAGACAGATGTAATGCTTACAGTCAATACATGATAAGGGATAAGACTTGCCTGAAAGGGAACAACTTTGCAACTGCCAAGAGGGCACTTAACACAGGCTAAACTGCTTGAAAGTGTATCTGCTCACATTTTAACTGCACTTAGCAAATGTTAAGTTGAACATATGAAGTGTTTATTAGGGCTGTGTGAAGCTTCAGTAGCCGATTAAATTTGGAAGAGATTCGGCCCAATTCTGTGGCTGAATCTCCAAATCCAGAGACCCATTAAAAAGGTTCAAATTGAATCGAAAGCCTCCGAATTGATTCGGAAAACATTAGGTGTCACTTCAGAGATTTGGCCATAGACTAAACAGGCAGCATTCCTCAATGTTGGAGACAGCTGCTTCCAGCTGGTAAGTCTGCCGTGGTGGGCAGAGGGGGGGAGAGAAGGTGTGTGTGGTGGGGTGCAGATCAACGCCCCCACAGCGAGGGAGGGATTGGGGCTGGGACCTGGGCTGCGGCAAGCGCTGCCCAGGGATGGGGTGGGGTGGCTCATGCTGCTGCGTGCCACCGGTCTGGGAGCTGCTCGTGTGGTGGC